GAACCGGATCTTTAACTCATCAAATTAAAGGAATAAAAATCTGAACTTACTTGACATTTTGATAGGCAAATTTTCAGCCACCTGACATTATATTTGTATTTCTGAAAGACAAAAGAATATCACGCTATTAAATATTAGGCCTTCGCTTCCCCAGATCTTTGAAACGTCAATTATTGTAGTTACCATTAATTACCAAAAAGTTTGCCAATTTTGAAACAAAGACAAAAAAGTTTCTAAAAACCAAGGTGGAGTCCTTCGAAAAATGAACGTACTTTCCAAGGAACGTGGCCTTAAACAGCTGTGAAATAACACCCAGGTTTATGCCATCTTCATATTAAAGGTTTTAAGGGAAAAAAATAAATATATACTTAAGAAATACAAAGGATATACCCCACTATTTTACACTGTTTCAGAAAGTTTTACACCGTTGCAGAAAACTCGTATCAACATCAAATTAAAGAGTATCTTCTTCATATGGTACAAAAAAAAAAAAAATAATCACCGAACACGACAGCAGCACTACCAGAGGCCACGGGATGGGAGCACATCGAGCCTTACAGCAACGAGCCCATCAGTGCTTGGGGGAAGAGCGCTATAACAAAGCGGTATCTTTGGGGGTGGGTTTTTTTTTTTGTTTGGTTTTTTTTTTTTTTGGAAGCTTAATGTTTCTGCTTCCCACAACTCTTATGCCTCTAAATATTAAACTTCGTTCTCTTTTTAATTTTTGTTGTCGATGAAATATGCACGACTTCTCTTTTTAGGACATTTCTATTCTAGTGTCTTTCACTGAATGCTCCCACGTTGAAGTAGCAGGTATTTAGGTTGTGATAATGTTTATTTTTAATGAAGGAAACTCTCCTAAATTAATTGTGGCATTGCTGAAGGATGGATTGTACCTGAATTACCCCATGCCTGGTCCTGTATTACTAAGCCTACCAGCTCTGAAAACTGAGTTACTTTCCACATGCTGAAGGAAACATAGACCTAGGTTGAGCATTGAACACATAGTGGGTAAGAGAAACTGTGTTTGTCCCATTCAATAAATATTGAAGAATAGCAGTAGAAGCAATACAGTGGTCAAGACCCTCCTGAACTGGGGAAAGAGAAGCTAATTTCTGTCCTAGCTACGATGGATGGATAGTCAAAGCCTCATTCATTGGCATTTTGATTGGCTAGATAGTCAGAAGGATTAGCTGGATGACATTAATGGTGTATGTTTACTGCACAAATGCATTATGTCAGTAAATAGGTGAAGGCAAATCTGTTGAAAAGGCACAGCTTTTACAACTTTTGTCTTTTTCTTTTATTCGTGGGTCTTACGAAACTGGCAAATTCTGAGCTGCTTCTAGAAGATAATTCCAACAAACTCTGAATAAAATTATTTTAAAGTTAAGTGGTGTAAAGAGAGTAAATGAGGATTTTTCTGGGTTTATGAGGTTGAAGGGTTATGAAGGGTAAGTGTTGTCAGAGTTGGGTTTTGTCTCATACTAGTCAGAAGTTTTATTTCTGATGCTAGTGCTTCACATGATTTGTGCACTCGCATGTTTGCTCACTCTAAAATAATGCAGCTGGTGACTGTTAGATGTTAATGTTTTAAAGAAGATGTCTTTTCTTTGGACTCTAGAAACTGAAGTCTTCACTCAGTAGTGTTTTTAACTAGTGTTTCTTTTTAAACAATTTCATCATGTAGTAACCTCACATGAGGAAAGGGGCGCTCTGCTCCCGGAGGCGTCTGGAGAAACGGCTGCAATATGGGGTCTGGGCCCGAATAAATCCCGTAAAGGCAGGCGGTGGAGTCGGGTGAACAGTCCTGGCAGTGCTGGGGAGCCCTTTGTGTGAAGTACGCAGCGTGGTGCTGAAATGCTGGTTTGGGAAGGGCACCATCTCTGAGGAGAGGTTGAACAGGAGCAGGATGCGGCCCTCGGTCCGGTTGTGCACACCGTGAGGTTGTGCATTTCTGTGAGGAAAGCTGGGAAGGTGCCGGTGTGTGCATGAAAGGGCTTGCACAGGTAAAAGGCCTCGAGGAAGCGGGTCAGCCCGTGAAGTGGTGTGGAGGAAGGCTGGTCACCCAGGCTATGGGAAAGACCCTAGGGTATAAATCTGTGTAGTTTGTAATTTTGAACTAAATCAGACTGATCAATACCTACACTATCACAGAGGATTATGAATTACAGAGTACACTGGGAGCAGTGGAAATATCTAGAACAATTTCTTGCAGAAATTCGTGAAGGTATCACACACGGAGGTAAAAAGTTTCCAAATATATATAGAACACAGTATACCGTGGCTCTGAGTATCTGAGGAAGATGAAGAATTTCAGACCTCAGCATTTAGCCTAGGAGTCTTTTATGAAAATTGTTAAAGTGACTGAAATAAAAATGAAATCGTAAAGTTTGGTGTTGAAATGCTGTCATATCGCTGATAAGATGAATTTCTAGACATCCATAAAGGAGGATTTTGGTGGATCTGGTGAATGTGGCAGCTGAAGGAAAGCCAAACAGTGAATGTCCATGACAAGATAGCGGAAATATCTTTGATTTTTTTTTGAACAGAAAAAGATAGATGATGCCTACCTAACCCAAAAGGACAGTAGAAGGGGAAAAGAAGAAAAACTAACTGAATATGATACTGGGTTGCTGCAAGTTAGACCCATTTCGTCTTGATGCCTACAGTTTGTCTAGCTCAGTTGGCTTTCATTCTTAAATAAGCACATTTTTATGAACAAACAAGACAAGAACTCTGCCCTTATCTGCCCACAGTGTGCTTATCTGTGGCCACAATAGAAATTTGTTGACATTCAGCACAGTAATCTGTGGCTTCGATTTGATAATTAAAAGAATGTGACAATTGAAAAGATTCCTCGCTCAGCCAGCCAAATACTCTCCTGTTTAAGTCTGCAGTTTCACCCGGGCAGAACATTTGTAAAGAAAAGGTGAGAAAATACTTGTTAAGAGGTGAAAAATAACCTGGTTTTTCCTCTGGTTTTGACTGCTTCATGCATCCATCTCTCGTTTATTAATAAACATGGTTTTGTTGATAGTGTTAAAATGCATTTAATGTTGATAACGTTAAACAAATTTAAATTTGTACAGCCTATTGAAATATTCATTATGGTGTTCAAGGACATTTACTGATACTCACTTTCCATGCTAATAGTTCTGAATCATTATCTGTGTTTTCAAAGCCAGCAATGTATTCCTTACTTTGTTTTATGGGTGGGTTTTTTCACTTTGCTATTTGCCTAATTTCCATGTTGTGATAGTGAAAGATTTTGCCTGTGCACGCTTTTTAATATACTGTATGACATAAGTGCTTGTACTGATTTAATAGGATTGTTTATACTGCATCGTACTAACCAGGGGGCTCTAAATAGTTGGCTCTTATCCAACTGTTTTAATTAGCAACAGTTTCATAAGCTTTGTAACGGGGACATATATTCATTGGAAAGTGGGTTGAGGCAATGAAACTCATTTTTACATCAGGCATTTGCAGGTATTAGATAGTGGTAGCTCAGCTGGTCTGAATTTAATTAGCAGCACAGAAGTGAAGAATTCTTTGCCATATTATCACGCTTCAGTGTTATATTTTTTAATTCAGCTTTAAAGGGACCTAAAATCAGGGTGAGAATTTATTGTGAATACTTCTTTTTCCTGAGCCCATGTGGACTTCACATTGACACTAGCGGATGTTTGAGTAGGTTATGAACAAAAGAGTAAGTGCTTTACATTTGAAGAGATGGAATTTGTGAATAATGAAAAAGATATATATGTACCATCAGGGGAGAAAACATAGTTAAAATGAGGATGCACGCTTGAACCAGGTCTAGAGTAGCAGCAATTCTTAATGCAGCTAAGGAAGGCAGTGTCAGGCAGTCCCACAGGAAGAAAATAGCTTTCAACAGGTACGAGTGGGCTGCCTGCAGCATGTCGTGTGTTAACAAACCCAGCTATTAAACTGCAGCCTTTTTTTTTTTTCTTAGAGCATCAGGTTTCATGATCATAAACTGGTATAACTGGGTTTATGCCAGTTGTTTCAGACTTCAGATAGAAGCTGTGTATTTCATGAGCAGTTGAGTCCGGTGTTAAGCAATAGCAACTTCTCTGGGGTGGAATTAATTTCCCATCACAGGACAGCTCAGGATGAACTTGTGCTGTCATTGGGGTCAGGGAGATGGCTTTGGCTTCAGAAACTGGGAGGTCAGGCCATTATATGGATGAAATAACATATATGAACAAGGTCAATGTTTTTTTCTGGTTACTTAGTATCCCAGACAATGTTTATGATAAATACAGAGTAATTCCTCTCTTCTCAAATAATTTGGAGGTTGTATTGCAAGGTGAAGTCAGGTATGTGTTCTGTACTATGCTGGACGAGGTTTCTATCATTAGGGGAAAAAAATCTAGAGTTACACTAGAGAAGTACCGTAGGTCAGAGAATAAGGCAAACACCCCCTAATTAAAGAAAACGATGTGTCTGTGAGTAAGATTATTCCGTTGTTTACTGTAGAGATGGCAGTACTTTCCACCTATTTGTATAGTAATTTTAATATGCCTGTGCGAGCTCTTCCTACATGAGGAAGTCTGCCTAAGCAGTTTTAAAAGTATATGTATTAAGCTAACTTTCTGTTACATATTTGCTTGCTATTTATCTTTGTCAGCTTATCTTTTAGATTGTAAACTTTGTAGGCCAGATGCTGTCTTCTGTTCTTTCTTGTGCACTGCTTGGAACAAAGGACTTGAGATCTGGTTGTGGTTAACGGATTTACCAGAAAAAGAGTAATTTTTGTAGCAGGAGGACACTCACCTTACATGTTATAATAAAAATTCTTAGGGAATTTGTGTTTTTCTAATTGTAGAGGAGAGCATAGAAAACACTTGGCTGCAGTGCTACAGGTTTTCTTACAACTTTTATTTTGTATTTCTATGTTACTTCTTTCCTTTTAAAGTGTACACATTAAAACTCACAAAATATGCATGAGCAAATGCAATTTTAATACTTTTTTTTATTGTACGACTATAATTTACTTTGGTAAGTTCGTATCCCTGTTTAAAGTGCCTTAAAGCAATTAAAACTTAGTTTAAATTCAAGTATTGTAAAATGTACAGAGTATAAGCACAAAAAAAGCGCTGCATAGTAAAAATGCTAGAGGAGGCTAATACATTCAGGATGCCAAATACTCAAGTATTAACACCACCAGATCAGTATTAAGGTTAATGATAATTAGCCAGCTTCATACAGTAGATACAGAACTGTGGGCAATATAAATGCATTGTTCTTACCACTAACAAAAGATAGAAGCATAATTTAACACTGAAAGAATTTGTAGGATCCGTTTTTGTAACACATGCCGTAAGTAATAAGGCAAATACTGACACTTAAATTAATCTTTTACATGCTGCTGTCAATCCAGCAAATACGGTATGTGATTTGTCTAGATTCTGAGCCCCTGCAATCCCAGTGGTTTTGGTGAGAGTTTGTGACATCCATGCCTCTTAAAAATCCTCATAAACAATCATTCTTATCTTAGTACAATTTTATTTGAATTTTTGTTTGAAATTTCTCTCATAATATAAAGAATATTATGAGTCTGAGTTTACATTTCTGGTTTTTTCTGTGTACAGATGCAAGATCATCTACTGTACTTTGTATTTGCCCATAGCTGCTTTGAGTAATAGTGGGGGATACTTGATGGGTATGGTAGAATTTTACTTTGAATGTGTAGCCCTTATTTTGTCCATTTAATTTGAAGCTATAATAGTTGTACCCTGGCATAATAGTGACTTGTTATGTGTACCAGATCAAGAGCATAACTTACCTATAAGATATGTCAGGAGAGGAATTTGTTGACAGTATTTTAATTCACATTGTTATTAATTAAATACCAGTATTACAATGGCTGACTCCTTACATTTGAACAACTAAAGGCTATAATTTTACTTGCTATGGCTAAGAAAGTTAGAAGTACAGATATGTGTGGACAAAAAAGAGAATGATTGATTTTCAATGGAAATTACTGCTTCAAAATCAGTGGAACAATATAGCTAAAATATTGTTGGTTTGTAACAACCCTTTAGAAAATATTTGTATTATTATGCAAGGGAAAGACATTTTTGCTCACTTGTTGCCTAAAAAAAAATAACTTTAAAAATACCAGCCACTTTTAAAAGAAAATTCTTCATTCGTAGTTTATGTATTTTAAGAGCATCTTTGTATGCAATTTTTGCTGTTAGAAAGTGTTATTTTAAAATATATTTCAGGAAGTATGACAGTTGTGATATAAATTATTACAAGGATTCATCAGTCATTATGTGTATGCAATACTGAATAATTGAGAGAATGAAATATGCAGTTCTCATTTCCAGAAAGAGAAAACAAGTTCTCTTTTACAAAGGCAGAACATGTCGAAGTATAAAGTTATAGTTTAATTTTTGTAATATTTGGTGAAATTCTACAAAACAGCAACAATAATGAGAAAATTAAAGGGCTGCACCCAGAGTATAAAACTAGTAGAAGTTAGGTTTCTTGGAATCTTAACTCCCTTGCTCTTCTCCCTTTCTTTTAAAAGACTTCTATGTTTTTATTGTATTAATCAAAGTACTTAGTAAGATTTCGTAGTTGTAGCAAGATAGGAGGCCGTGTAAGTCCACCTACAGTTTATTTCCAGAGCCCGTTGGAGATGAATTTTGGGTTAATTTGCTGTAGGTTAAGGTTTGATAGAAGGAATACTGCAAGATCTCCTCATTACCAGCCTGACTTCAATGTCGGGAAGAGTTTTCTTTTTAGTGTGTAAACATCCTTCATCTGCTGCTGCTAGGTGGAGATCAAAGCGCAATGAAACTGATTTTTTCCTTAAGCGAGGGTTGTCCTTAAAGAAAGAGCCTTCCCATTCTTTAATGACTTCATCCACTTTTTCTGTCCTGAAACAATAAAGCAAATGTATTTATCATCCTTTAGGCAATATGAATTATTATCTATCTTTGGGACTGCTTTTAAAATGTAGAGAGAAATTGCATAATGAAGTATCAAGTTATTTTAGATGGGTGCTGAGACACCAGAATTTTTCTTTTTTTTTCCTGGGTTGATTCTCCAGAAGATCTAAATAAAGGGTGAGGGCTCATTATATTCTTGTTTTTGTACTTTTAAGTAGACATGGATACAAACCCACTGCTCCAAACACATCAGGCAATTTGTTTCCAAGGAGAAAGTTTGGAATCCAAATTCAAAAACTTTGCAAGCAACCTCTGTACTACAATGGGCAGGACAGAATTCCTGCATCTGAAAGCCTTCAAAATAGGGAGGAGAAAAATCTAATTCAGATCCAAACCTCAGAATGTAGATCTAGATTAAATTAAAAAAGGAAAAGAGGGCAGAAGTAAAATATGGAGAATTGAAACCCCAGCTGATTCGATAATATTTGGGCACCCAAATCATATTGATTTAATCCTCTATGTACGTGTCAGGATCCAGATCTAAAACTGCGACTCTGGGGGCCTTACTCAGGTAAACTGTACCTGGCCGAGTAGTGCCGTGCAAATCCGACTGACTGTGTAAGATGAACACAGCTCATGTATGAAAGTAAGGTTCAAGTATGGAGTGTGTATGGTGGACCATATGGTGGCATTAATTTTTGATCTGAATTTCTACATGTTCTACATGTTCTTCATGTTTTCAACAGCTGATTAGAGTTAAGTATTAGTGATACGGTACACTACGGTTTGCTTTAAATATAATGTTAAATGCTAGTCTACAAAAGAGTTTAAAGAGCAGCAGGAAAAAAAAAGAATGAGGCAATCCAATACTATTAAAGTAATTTAAGGTGAATAATACATACTAACAGACTTTCACATGCCCATTTAGGAGCCAAGTAATTGGTGAAACGTAGGAGTTTCCAAATAGCAAGTTAGAGCAGCCAAGCCTGAATTTATGTGCATAAATACGCCCCAGAGGGACTTCACAAACATGGTATGGGCTCTTTTGCTTTCAACCTTAACTATATGAATTATTCATAGTTTCATTCTTAACAGAAACAGAAATTACAAATCAGAAGCATCATCATGATATGTAGCTTATGTAGTAAATGCTAATAAAAAGAACTTTAAAATTTAATGTAGGGTTGAAACATGCCATTCAATATACCTTGGAAAACTATCAGTTATTCTGGAGCCTCTTGGCTGTATGGGCATGATATAACAGATACTAAATAAAGGAAAACTCAAAGCTACTGAAATGTAATGCCCACCATTTCCTTTCAAATGTTATTTTGTTAAATTTGTGTTTATCTTACTGTACAGTGCCATGAGCTTCAGCACTTTCCTTCATAACATTTCCATCTAGGATTGCTTGTTTTGTCATCAGTTCCACCTTCTCAGTTTCATGCTGCTTTACACCATCTATAAAAGAAAATGCAGATATACTAGGCATGCAGAAGAGTAAGGTCAGGACACAGGACCTAGAGGTATTTTTCCTCCTGCCGCACTGGAAGATCCTTTTGTAATATCCAGTAATTTGTCAGTAGTTAGGAGCCTTCTTTAAGGCCATAATCCCTGAGGGGAAAGTGTCTAAAAACTCACCCGAAGGCAGTGTAAAGGCAATCTTGCTAGTGGTAGGCTTTTTGTCATCCTTCTGGTCAGGTCTAGAGCAACGAAACCTGCAAAAATAAAAATTATTACAGTCATCTAATAATACTGAATTACATTAATCCAAAACTTGTCTTCTGAACAGCTATGAAAAATTTAAAAATATGAGAACCATGAGAAGTTCTGTTTGATTGTAGTAATTATTTGTTAGGATTTCTCATTCTGAGTATAGAAATGATGAAAGTTACTGAAAATATCTGTGCAATTTCATAAATATTTTTGGGCAGTTTTTAGTCAGTTTGTTGTGTGCTAGGAAGAGTTATTGAGTTTTATTACTACTGAATGGTGTGTATTAGAAGCATTAAATCTGAAACTGACTCCCCTGTTTGGAATCTTCTTAGGGCAACGTGTGGGGTTCCTGGACTCTCCACTTCCTGTAGAAAGGACTGAGAGAGGCAGTGTTCCCCTGAAAGATTTCAGAATCGCATGCCTGGTTTTGTGAAGATACCAGTGCTGAGTGCATGATATGTTATTTTGCCTTTTCCTTACCCTCCTTGTTGTTTACATTTGTATAGCTGCCTCTCTCATGTCTACATTTCAAAATTGTGATGTTTGTGTGCCGGTGAAAGGGCAGACGTCAAGAGTTACAACTGAAGCAAAATGTCCCTAGAAGGCATATTCTGAAATCACATCCTAATGTGTGCCTTAACACACTTCGAACGATACTAAGGAGCATGAACTCCTCATGCCAACGGCCATCTGTCATGCGATGAGATGCAAACTCCTCTCTCAGAACTTCACACGTGTGGACTTGCTTCATCAATGGTCTGAGACAAACAGAGCCCACGTCATGCAGCTAATGGCATGCAAAGTCTACATCAACGTGCAGTGCTTGGAGGGAGCCTGCTATTCTCTGCAACGCATCGTGGAGATACTCAGTTTCAGAAAGCAGAGAATCAGTGTAATTACAATGAAACCATTTCTAAGGATTTTATATTGTAATTTTTTAATGACTGGTTCATGTATTTACAATTCTGATTATTATTTCAATGAGAAGTTCTGAAATGGAAGGTAAATTTGAGTACTTTTTCTCTAAACCACAAGTACCTGTTCTCTTCTTGCTCAAGCAGACTGCGATACGTTGCTATCTCCTCCTCCAGTTTCATCCTCGTGTTCAGGAGAATTTCATGCTCTTGAAGCTGTTTCTCAATACCTCTTCTCACTTCCAGTAGCTCTTTCTCTAAGCATTCAATCTCAGCTTCCAAATTTTGTAGTTGCATGTGGTACTGCTGCTCTGTGGCACGCAGTGAGCGTTCCAAACCCTTTTCCTGTGAAATTTAACTCATATTTTAAGATTTGGAAAGCGTATGTGTAAAGATGTTATACATACTTTTCATTAACAATCTGTGTATTTTGACATTAGATCTTTTAAGAATATTCTTTAGGAGCAGGAGTAAAGCTTTCAAGATAACACTTTTGATCAGAAATTTTCCAGTAAAATCTGTAATAATTTAAGATAGGATAAAAAATGTAGCCTTCCATTGTACCAGCAATCCACTACCATTGATTTTATAGATCTCTGATTTTACCTGTATGGTTAAAACAATATCCAGCTCAGTATTGTATGAAAATTGAGTCACCTGTGCGCTCTTGTAGCTTATCTGTTTTACTGAATTCAGTAAATTTCGGACATGTTTTATCATGAATGAACTCATAAATTTGGTCCACACATTCAAAAAAAGTTATAAACCTGATGTTAGGCAGAGTGACTGGGAACTTGATGAGGGAGTATCATGCAAATGTATGTTTGGCAGGTGTGAAAACATGAAAACACGTGTATATTGAATGGCAGATCCTGAATCAAAACGTACGATAGTCTTAAACGTGAGCAAATGACGGGGTTATTGCTTGGTTGGTGCTCTGTGTGACAATGAGCTGAATTAAAGTCTGCCGCAAAGCTGTGCATTTCTGTGTTTGTTGTATAGTGGATGTGATTGTTACATGAACTGAATTGTGGAATAGTTTACATCAAGAAAAGGTTTTATTTTTTTCCAGGAGATTTCAAGTTTCATTTTATGATGCTTACCACAGCGTGGAGAGATTCAATTTCGATCTGCATATGGTGCCACTGCCGTCTTGCTTCACAGAGTTCTGCTCTGGCTGCCTTCAATGCTTCTGCATCTTTATCCATTCTTTTAATTGTAGCTTCTTCTAGCTACAGGGAATATAAAAAAGATAACAATGTTAAAAAATACTCAAATAATGAAAATAAAATAGATAAAAATCTCTAGTTGGAATTTTTTTAGTCATATAAATTTGTTAGAGCTAACAGTGATGAGTTAGTATTTCATGTACCGTGTCGACAGGAAGCCCTTATCCTGTTGTGTGTGATGGGAAGTAGTTGGCTGCATCTTTATCCGTAACGTATTTGTGGTAGAGGATTTCCCATGCAAATTAACCAGTTGTATTTAGACTTTATTCACCTCTAGAGTAAATGGGCTTAACTTCATGGAAATGGCAGGATTTGTAGTCACTTCAAGCTTCCACCTTTGAATAAGGTTCTTTGGTTTTAGTGTATTTTTGATTTCAAAGAACAGCCTTATAGAGAGGGAGCACTTCTGAGTGGTTGCATGAATATATCACAATTGACAATTGCTGTAGTTATGGTTTTGCCTGATCTGGTCATTGACTAGATTTCAGATTGTCATTTGAGAGCAAGAACCTCCATTCATTTAAATGTAAATAGCATCTTTATCCAAATCTACAACTTTTCCTTGTCCTCTTAGGTTAAGTTCTCTTTAAGTTTACCTATCACAGGAAGGAAAAAAATGGCGTGTTCTCTGAGTATATGTACTGTCACCCATGGTAAATGTGACAATGTAGAAGTGAAGTGCCTGCTCTAAGCCTAATCCTGATCTAAAATATTAATTGAGATAATTTGCCATCCTTAAGGCTGAAGTTTATTCTTAGAAAAAAAAAAGTAAAGTCAAACAAGCACTGTATTGTGTTTGCAAGAAAATCCATTTTTTTCCCTTCTTAAAATTGTATTAAAAGTAGGGTTTTTAAGCCAACCCTGGGCACGTGTGAGGTCATTTTAGATTTGGTCTCATCTTTGATTTAGATAATATGTCCATGCATTTAACTTGCAGAATGATTGTTTTGCTTATGGAAGTTCTTTTTCCTTTTTGATTCTGAGTTTTACTGCAAGTGGTGAAGCTGCCATAAGCACTTGAAACAATACATGCTCTTCTGCATATTTTACTGCTTTATGATGCCATCAGCTCTATGGAAATAAACTCTTTAATTCAGGTCTTACGAAGCAAGTAAAAAAAGTTTCTTCCCCCCCCCCCCCCCCCCTCAATCCTATTGTAATTATGCCATGCTATCATATTGGTGAAAAAGCTAGATTTGGCTAATCCACAAGTGAACACTCAGTATTCTTTGCTTATCTTTTTTGCCTGGGTACCACAGAATTTCTGTGACACGATTATATCAACATACATTGGCTGCTTTGTGCCAAACACAGATATAAACTTGGCTTAACTGTCTAGTTCACAGCTGCTGCGTGTCATTGGATTACTGTGTGGATCAGCCAGATTGCAGCAGTAGTCTGGCCTGTGGTTACAAAAAACCTCCAGAATTTCTGCAATACCAAAGAAGTACAACAAGGTGATATAATACCTAATTTTCACCCTGAATTTCGTATGTTTGATGGCTGAAAATTGTTTTACCATTTTATTTCAAAGTTCAGTTGGGTTTTAGAGATGTTCTGTATGTAAATCTATAATAGGAGCATTGTGTGTTGATAACATTTAATCAATCTGTATGAAAGAACAAATTATATTTGCTGAAGAGTAAGACATAGTTTTACTGTGAATAATATAAAATAGTTCTTGAAAAGGTACAGTTTTCTTTAATATAGGTGCTAAAAATGGTAAAGCTTTCTGTATATAAATGGATTCTTCACATTGAACTAAATGGTGCTAGAGGTTACCATGTTACAGCAGATGTCATCATTTGTTAAATCACAACAATATCACTGTGGCAGAAAAACATCCAGATGAATTACACAGCATTCGTTTAGTGTGAATTTCATACCCTAAGCAAAATCTATTTCCGTACCTTCTAGCTCACATCTTACTGCAGTAAAAGCAAAATCCCTTCCCCAATAATATGCTGCATTGAAAAGGAAATACTGTACCTCATAGAGGCTGAGGGAGGAATTGTATAGAGAGGGGTTTTCTCCTTACTCTGGAAGGTGTATGTCTGTATGAAGTCATTACCTGGGTCCTTGCTGAGATGACGGTCTTTATCTGATTTCTGGTGATGAGCGTTTCATACTTTGCCCTGATCTCATTGAGGAGCTGGGACAGATCCATTCTCCTCCCATCCTCCACCTTGGCTAACCGACCCTTATTGATAGGATGAGCCGGCTGCTGCAGAGCCCTCGCTGCCTGCAGGGAGAGGGGAGAGGGAGAGAAGGCGCAGGCGGATTTTAAAGCTGCAGAGCTTTATTTCTGTGGAAGCGCTGGAAGGTCACAGGCTTCCAATCGTTTCTAAAGGCAAGTTTAAATAAGCAAAGATCTGTCACCTTTGCAGCGATTAAAATAATGATTCCTATATTCTGTGCTGAAAAGGTTATATACCATGTCTTTGTGTTTCTGTTACATTGTAACTATGGTTTTTTTTCATAACCTCAAAAATGTGGTGTTAAGAGATATGAAGCAAAGGACAAAATTACAGCTGCAACATCATGAGAGTGCAATCGCAGAGGGGAAGGGAAGGGAAAGGAACAGCTTCCTAGCGTTGCACCTGTATTGGTGGCAGTGCTGCTGGAACCCGTCAGTTGTGCAGCACTGGAGCACGTTATTTAGGGATGTTACAGAATTTCCATCCTTGAAGGATTTTCAGACTCAGTGAGGTGAAGCCTCAGGTGGCTGACCTGACCTAGTGTTGAGGACTGTCCCATTTGGAAAAAGAGCCGGGCTCCTGGACATCCTCTCCACCAACGTTTTGGTGTTTTTATGGTCGGGAACACAAAAAGAGGGAGAGGAACCAGCACTACTAGTGGTGAAGAATGCTTGTGCTCCTTGTGGCAAGGGGTTTGGCACCTCTTCTGCACAGTGTTGAGTTCCGGTGAATTAACACTTCAAACATAGCTAACTGCTGTCAGAAAAAGGGTCTGGTTTGTCTCTGAAGGTGTTTACAGTAACTCTGCCACGTTTCAGTGGGTTCAGTTCACAGAATATGCAGATTACGTGAGATTCTTATACCTTTCCTGGCAGCTACCAGGCAGGTAGAAAGTATAGGTTGTCTGCTGTGCTCTATTTTCTGCAAATAATTCTTCGTTTCCTGGCTCACTGGATTCTGTATGATCCCAATGATCTTCTCTATTTTTCAAATAATTCAAATATTTTTCTGTAATGCACAATATTAGATCTTTAGTAAAATTTCAGGTTTCAGTAAAAAATAAAATTTCACAAAGTAGAATGCATTTTTGGGCTCCCGATAAGAATATCCATCAGTAAAATGAGAAAAAAAAAAAGGCAATAAACTTTTACAAGACACCCATCTTTTTGGAAGTCAAAGTATTATACCACTTAAAAGTCTCCTTGTGTGCATAAGGCTTCTTTGTTCTTGGCTCTGTCTGCTGGCACATGTAAAAGGATCCTGTGTTCTGATTTTATTTTTCTTAGCTGGCTGTTTTTCAGCTGACCTGGACTGAGATGCGAATGTTTTGTTGTCCACAATCTTTTCAACAAGTGTCTTAATTATTCTAGTTTTATGTAGTTCTAAAACTAAAATATCGACAGTGTTTTTCATTGATGGCCTGAGAACAGTCACATAATAAAAACATTATACCTTAGGACAGCATAAGCATTGATAGGAAGAGCCTATGTATTTAAGCAAATAAGAATTTGAAATGTAATTTAAAATCTTTCTTTTTCTTTGCATTGCAATACTGATTGTTTACAGTTTGCTTTCAGTTCCCTGGGACTCAGAACATCTTCTGTTTACATCAGGCAAAGTCAAGGCTGTCTAGCATCCAGAAATTGATCCAGAAATGTATAAGTTTGAAATACAACATAGAGGTCTGCAGGGATATTGGATTTGGTCCCACAAACCAAACTGTATGCATCAATAAGTTTCTATGGATGAATCTTTGTATTACCAGGAGTTAAACATTTGCGAGCTGATAAAATTTTTTTAAGCTTTTAAAAAATAAATTAGAACTGATGCTTTTTTTTTCCTTCTTTTTTTTCAGATGTAAAGGGAACATCTGGCTATGAGATCCCTGAGGCTAAAGGGAGGTAGGTGTAAGCAATTGTGTCTTTACTAGGACTTAGGTAATTTTGAGTTCTAGCTACTTTCAGTGTTCATATGTTATTACAGATGTTGGATTTTAGTTAACATTATCATTCAGATACTGTGCATCAATAATTTGGATTCTGTGATACAGTATAATAACGCTCTAGTGATTGCAGACTGCTTTGGTTTACCACTGTTGCTTTCTCACAAGATGACAGGTAGAGTGGTTTCTAGATTTTACGTACACCAAAACTGCACCCTAGGCAGTTCTCAGTCATCTTGTGTTATAATAAAGTTAAATTCAGGATTAACATGTATGTAGCTAAACTGCATGTTTATTCAGTGGAAATCTACATTGAATGATGTAGGGAATAGTGATGTCACAGCAATCACAGTTGCAGTCCTTGAGGTATGTACATTATTTCATATTTCTTTGTATACATTTTTACTGTAAATATATGTGTCTTTGGAAAAAGAAGATGAGAGAGACACACTTTTCTCTTCAAAATGGACATGATGTCAATAATGGGGAAGATATTATGGTTTCAAGTTTTCCACATGTGAGAAAAACATTATGGGTAGGAAAGAAAGATGAGGAATGACGTCCTGTCTTAGGAAGAAAAAATTTCCTTCAATCTATATTCTTAAAATTTCTCTATAATGGTACTCTTGGTAATCATACCCAGCTACATAAACAACCTCAATGTGTCTATTTCTGATGTAATTATTTTAATTTATATTATAATTATTTTAATTTTAAAACTGTAGCCTGCAACAGTAAAAATGTTATTGAAGTACATCGCATGTAGTAAGATTCTTTTCATTTATCAGCACTGCTTTTAAAGGGGAAAAAAAAGAGGTACTTGTGTTCCATGCTTTTAGAAAAGAAATTAATTCCTTAAACAGTTGAAGGTGGTGCATTTACTCAAGAGGTTTTCAAGTTCTTCCCCTTCGTACTGACATATATAAAAGATTGCATCCCTTTGGGTTATTTATCGCAGTGCCTTTTCTGTAACTGACTGGATTTTAGGTGCTGTGATTCTACCATGCTGATTTAATTCTTGGATTATTGCTCTAATTACCCTGGCTTTTATGGGCTCCAAGCAGGAAGCAGAAAAAATGCTGGTAGTGGGTTTTGCAAAAGGCAGAATGGAAGCACAGTATGAAATCTGTGCTTCCATTAAAATTTTAGTTTGGGTCAAGTGTTTAAGGGATGTGATAGAATGCACAGAATGTTTCCATTCTAGACACACCGCAGTGTATGTGTAAGAGGTCACAGTAACTTCCTTGTTTAATCTGAGAATCACACAAAAACCATCAACATGTTGTAAGGGGATTGTGTTTTGGTTCGTAATACTATTTTGGATGAGATTCCTTTAAATAATTTGTTCGACCTGGACATCCGGAAGCCAAATTCAGAATTTCAAAGATCATATTGTGCTCCCACCAGGTGGCACTCGGGGACCTGGAACGACTGCCTCATGGCCGGGGTTGCTGCCTGCTTCCAAACCAGGGTATCCCTTCTTTTCCTCTATAGTTGCAGTCTCTACAATATGTTGTTCTGTTTGCAAAAACTTGTATCTTAAATTGATAGCTTTAAATGATAAGTTAGTAAGTATTCCTTTAAAGCCACATTTAAACAGGTTTTTTTAACATGCACATGTTAAAAACATCCACATTGGATTAATTTCTTTAAGTTAATGGGGAGTACTATGCCACACACATAGCGTACGGTAAAGCAAAATACCCAACAAAAAGGCAAATATGGATCAGGAGCAGCAGTCCTAAATGAAGAATAAAGGGACACTGATATCTTAAAGCTTGTTGAGTCCTTTTTATTAGTCAAGAGAGGTGGAAAATGAGGTTAGAACAGCAAAATTATTTTATCTATTAATTACTAAAAATTATTAAAAAACATGTCTAATTAAATGCCTACTGTGTGCACCATATTTCTAGTTATTGAACAAAGAATTTGTGATATATTTAAAGAACACCATGAAAATAATACAGGTAATACCAATAGACTGAAGCAGAAAATATATTGCATGCCTGCTAAGAATGAAAATGCAGGCTTTGGTTTATGCAAGAGAATCTTAGTAAAAAAACAATCTATGTTTATCACTTCATACAAAAGAAAAAAGTTATTTATCCATTTTGGCTTTGAAAAAACATGGAGTGAACAGATCCTTTGCAATTGTGCCTTATATCTTCTCTTCAACTTCCTTAACATGGGATGCAATAACTTTTCCATCTACCACTTCTTCGACGATTGTCTTGATCTTTCTAGTTTTGGTAGGATCTAAACATCATCAACAAACCAAAAAAATATTTATCAAAGTGTTAAAAATTATAAAACAGAGCAGCATGCATACATGAATGGTTACATCCTTTTCCTTTCAAGTTAGCTTCTTGTTATAATGAACTCTATGATGTAGTTAAACAGGATAGCATGTATTACTTCCATTTTAAGAATAGCTTTAGAAACAAAATTTTATTCAATCAAATTCTACCTACCCTGAGAAGAATCCAGTGATTGTGTTTGTGATGTGGACCCTGTCAAGGATGAGCTTTCAAATGTAACTCCCTGTCCTGCGCTCCTAAAAGTGAATCAGAGAGACAGAGCAATATTGCAGAATGTTTGTCAGGATCAGGGGAAATTCCCTTTTCATCTTGGCATTGATAGATTGCTTTAAATACTGAGCAGAATGGTTCATTCTCCTCAGTTAGAGTGTTTCAGAATCATTGTATCTGCCTTACTGTCTTTTGGTGGATGTGCCGCTTGCTTTTACCTCTTTATTTCCTGGAAAGGATATCGCTACAGAGAGTCAAACAAAGGAGATATTTTATGTAAATTAGTTACTTACACAAACTCGCCATCCAGCAAGCGACGATAGGTTTCAATCTCCATTTCCAGATGAGTCTTGATGTCCAGAAGTTGTTGATACTCTGCATTCTGGCGCTCCATATCAGCCCTGACCTGGAACAGCTGAGACTCCAGGTTCCCAATCTGAAGTTGCATTTGTGAAAGCTGAGCACAGTAACCTCCTTCCGTTTCTGCTAAAGTGTCTTCAAGGGATTTTTTCTGTGTAAGAAGGATGTTAAATAATCTCTTATTGAGGAAAAAAAATCTTTACAAAGACAAAACCAACTGACATAGTTTAATGGGAGTAAGCATAGCCTCATTACTTAGAGATTTTTACTTTTCTCTTGAAATACCAGTTTGAAAACTGGCCTTTATGTTCATGTTCAGTGAAGCAGCTAAACTTCATCTGCTTTATAACTGCTACTTGCAATCCAATTATATGTATTACTGATATTTAGGAACTAAAAGAATGCAGGATTTAATAGGAAATAAATGCAAATCTTAAATCGTATAGAATAGCATAAGATCTAACAACACTTTTGAAGCTGCAAAATTGACTCTGACCAGTTAGTAGCTTCCTTAGAACATACCATGGCCAGCTGGGATTGTAGTTCAATTTCCAGGCTCTGGAGAGTCCGTTTTAAATCTGTGATCT